ATTTATTTTTATATATATATATTGTGTGTATATATATATATATATATATATATATATATATATATATATATGCTTCTGAATTGGATTCCAGTATTGTTCCAATGTATGACCTCAACGATGGTCTTATACTACTGACCACCCAGATCTAAACAATGATTTATACTTCAAAGAGGCTAACACAAATGACCACACTTAGCAAAGGCCTTCAAAACATATGTGCACTCCACATGAAAGTTCTTCAGCCTTGTTTAAAGACAGCGAGCTGCTTTTAAGGCAGTTACAGGGTGAAATGGATAGGGTACGTGCAGGATCGCAATCAAGGGACATTTTTTAAATGAAAAGTGAACATGCATGTTAACGCCAAACAGGCTTGGGTTTCACAACCCCGTCCAATCAGGAAGAGTGGATTATAGTGGAAGAGGTGATAACAGAGGAATTTAATGGACACATGGGGGTATGGATCCCATTTCACTGGCACACGTGCTTAGAAACTATGACATGTTAAAATGTGCGGAAACACATCTGAAGAAAGTTTAGCTTTCGCTGACTGAAAATATCAAGGCATAAAAGATGATATGTAATGAGAAATCAACCAAAGAAAATATCAGAACACCAAATTTAAGGGATGGAGATAAGATAACAGTGTGAATTTCAGCCATGCTCACATATCAACAGACCCATCATGAGCCTCCTTGGTGTATCAGTGTGCACACAGATAAAGCTCGTGTTGGTCTGTTGTCTCTGGAGTATCGAGCCTTGTTGTTAGCACCAGGGCTAATTTACTGCCGCATTGTAAAGTGCACTGTCAGCGTCTGGTGTAATCCTGCTTTGTGTGTTTACACCCTGTGGAAACGAGGCTACGAGCAATTCAAGAGTCTGCAAACTATGTGTTGAAGGATATCACACACACTTCAGTGGATCACAGTTTATTCTATCTCTCCAAACAGCCTTCAGTAAAAGCCTGACTATTTTTACCACTAGTCAGAGGTGAGAGCCCCTCAGCACCAGAGCAGAGAGAGGTGTTATCATAAACAAAACCCACAGAGAGAGTTTCAATGTGGACATAAATTTCAAAACTATATGTGTATGTACCAGGTGCTCCTGTAGACCTAGATTTTTGCTGCATTCTGCCGTGTTTTTTGTTTTTTTTCTCCTGTACAGCAGTTGCAAAGCACCAACTCTCTGCACTAAAGGATTTTTCAAGATCACACAGCTGAAACTGTGTGAAAAACAAATCCCCATTTTGCAATTGAAAATCAGGCAGCGCTGGATTCAGAATGCAAGAACAGCCTAAGGCTGCAGGAGGTAACGTGTTGATTTATTTGATGGAAAACTGTTGGCAGATTTGTGTGGTTACATGGCTTCTCTAAAGAGCTGGCCACAGATCCAATTATGATAATATCAGTTTGATTACTGCTCTGTCAGAACACTGGAGTGAGAGTTTGAGGAAAAGAACACAAGAGGAAAAAAAAACCTCATTAATCTCTGTGAAATGAAAACAGATTATGTTAGTGCCTTTTTATGCAATGACGCACTCTCGCACCCTCATCTGCACGGTTTAACTGTTTATTTCTAGTTTAGAGGAAATACAAATGTGTTGGCTTACTAATATGTAGCCTCCTAGTGTGTGGTTTTAGAAAAAAATACGTTTATTTACTAATTATTGCACAATAGGAGCAAACCAGCTGTATGTGTGCATGTGTGGTGCTAATGAGGTGAGAGATAATGCAGGCTTTTGCAGTTAAATGAACCACCCACACCTACTGTGCTAGGGAGGAAAGAAACACACAAAAATGTCACAAATATAAAGCACACACATATGTATCCCTGTATATAAAGGAATACAATTTCTAAAAAAATAAGGATAGATAGATAGATAGATAGATAGATAGATAGAACAGCTGCCGATATTAATGCTATTGGGGACAGGGGGAGGGAGGTTAAAACAAGTCCAGGTCTGGACCAAGAAAAGCGGGAGAAGAAAAAGTTGCAAGACACAAAAAAAACTTAAAAGCCTCCAACGATCCTCTCACCTCACTTCTTTTACTTTGGCAGAGGGCAAAAGAAAAGGGAGGGAGGGAGGAAAGGGGTTGAGAAAGACAAGCAGGCAAGCTCTCGGAAGAACAATAGCCTTTCTTGCCTGTTTTGATTTATTAGGGTGCTTCTTTTTAGACATTCCGTCAGCAAACAGGCAAAGCTTTGACACCGGGGCCCTCTATTTTCCCCTCTTTTCTTTGAAAACCGAGCATTGTCCTTCAATGATCTGAAAGAGCAAGGGCCGTGGAGAGGCCATAGAGGAAAGGGGGAAGGGTGACCACTGAAGGATAAGTGGAAAGCACTTCTTTAGCTCTCTCATGGCTGGGCGAGGTGAGGCTGTGGAGAGCTCTTGAGCTGAACGTGTGCCTCAAGTGCCTCTCCGGCACATGGCGCACACTACACTGGAGCAGGTAAAGATACGCTGCATATTAATTATTAAAATGGGGATTAGAAAGTGGATATGAGTGCTTGAAATGATTCTACTGATAAAAAGGGTCACTCCTCTCAAATGATGAGGCAAGGTCAAAGATTGCTCCCGCCTCTTGGGTTTTCTGTCGTAATTCATTCCTAGTACAATTCTGCCCATGACCTAATGGTCATATCTGCTCTGGATCAACTTTGGAAGTGCGCTTAGTGGGTCTTGTTTAAGCTGGAGAGAACGGTAAGTCAGAAAGTTCGCTTTTTTTACTCCAATATAGGATCAGAATGACCCTGAGGGGCATGTTGAAAGGCTTTTTATCCAGTAGAGATAAATCAACAAAGGGAGAAAATGACAGACGTAAGCACAAGAGAGAACAAAAGACACAGAAGAGAGTTTTTATAACAATGTTTTTGTCTTCTGTCGAATTTGGTTTGTTAAGAAGAGCCTGTTTTTCTTAAAGTAGACACAGTAGCCCCCCAAAAAGCCCCTAAGCTTGCTTTATCTATGATCTCATTGCTTTCAAGTGACAAGGATTATAGTATATCTGTCTTTCAACCATTGTTATGGTTATATTCTGCTCAGCTTTTTCTTCTTTTGCTGTGCATTTTTTCTTTTGTATACGCAAACTGATTGGGACTAGAAGCATGTTTTATATCTAGTGCTTTCAAGTCTTGGAGGGATTAGAGAAACACAGACATACCTGCACTTTGGTTCTGCAAAGCAAGTCAAAACAGACACAACTTTGAAACACCTGTGCGTGTGTCTTTGATAGACATGTCCTAAGCATAAGAACTTACCGCTGCTGCAGTAGCGGCAAGTTGAAGAGCTGTTTGAGTAAGCTGCAGTGTAATAAAGTCTCAGCAGTCAAATAAACTTAAATTAATTGCCAATGAGTTTAACAGCTTAGCTGCTTGGGCTTGGTACACTAGAAAGATAAAACTCCCGAGCCGCAAAGCAGTTCCAGCAGTCCTTGTGCCAGAATGGTAGTGTGAGAGTTTGCCTGTGCACAAGAGTCAAAATGTGTCAATCATTAAGGGTTAGTTCACTCAAAAATTATTATTTTATCATTATTAATTCCCTCTCATTTTGTCCCAAAGCTTACACATATATATATATATATATATATATATATATACACATACATCTGCAACTAGTGGTTCACACACTTCAGCCTCTGTTTCATAATCAGACTATTGATTACAGTGTTCTAACCCCAGACTACCGGTGTATGAAGTGGAGGATGGAAAAAAAACAGAACTGACATTCAAGCATGAACAGATGATGGCTAATACTAGAAAAGAAACAGAGGGCTTGTTCAGGAGAAAGTCCGCTGCCACTTCATGATGAGAGTGAGCTGATAAGCGACTGTCTCTCTTTGGGCTGAATCATTTTATGACTAAATTGTGTTTTTGACCTTCTTAAAGTTCTGAGGCACTAGTTTGAAGCTTGAAGCTTAAAGGTATAGTTCACCCAAAAATGAAAATTACCCCATGATTTACTTACCCTCAAGCCATTTTAGGTGTATATGACTTTCTTCTTTCAGATGAATACAATCAGAGTTATATTTAAAAACTCTCTTGTGAACGCATGTATGCAGTTAGCGGAAGCTAGAGATTAAGGTTTATAAAGTTTTAAATATGGATATTTTTCTTACAAAAAGCACATCGATTCACTTCCCCCCGGAGCTGTGTGGGGCACTTTTTATGTTAGATGGATGCAGTTTATTGGACATCTATTGGACTATTGAATATTGCCTATTCACTGCCATTATAAAGCTTGGAAGAGCCAGGACATTTTTAAATATAACTCCGATTGTATTCGTCTGAAAGAAGAAAGTCATATTCACCAAGGATTGCTTGATGGTGAGTAAATCATGGGGTAATTTTAATTTTTGGGTGAACTATCCCTTTAACATCAAGCGACTACTGGAACAACTGTGAGAGCAGGATCACTTCTTTAGCGTGTCTAGAGAGCCTGCCGGGAGATTGTCTTCAACAGAGGCTGTGTGGCTACATCTGGTAAATCCAGGCACCTCCCAGGCCACTCCATACAGACAATATTTTCTGCTCTGTTGTCATAGCGACCTGAGCGAGGCTGTAGTTTTGAAATACACCCCGTGGAGTCTGGAGCCTTGACATTATATTTAACCGCAGAGCAAAACTGCAGCCGTAAATCTGTGGAGCAAAGCTGGATTTTATAGCACAAGCACCAGGAGAATGGTAATGGGGTGGCGAGGAGAGAAAAGAAAGAGAAAAATACAG